CTTACTCACATCCAACAATGTGCTTGCACATTTTAATGAAACTCTCCCTGTGTGCATCGCTTGTGATGCTTCTCCTTATGAGGTGGGAGCAGTACTCAGCCACCTTAGACCGGATGGAACTCAGGTTCCTGTTGCGTATTACTCCAGAACCTTGTCTTCTGCTGGGCGAAACTATGCCCAGATAGACAGGGAGGCCTTAGCTGTTGTTGCTGGAATTAAAAAAATTCCATGATTTTTTATATGGCAGACATTTCATGGTCTACACTGACCATAAGCCTCTGTTGGAGTTGTTTACTACAAACAAACAAACCCCCCATATAATCTCCCCCAGGATGCGGAGATGGTCAATCTTTCTGTCAGCCTATGATTTTTCTTTAATTCACAAACCTGGCAAAGAAATGGGCCATGCTGATGGTCTCAGTAGATTACCCATGCAAGTAGTAGAGGCTGATCCTGCCTCTACCATCAACATCCTTTCCATTCAGGCGCTGCCTGAGTCACCTTTAAATGCCAGGTATGTGGCTGCTGAATCAGCCACAGATCTCACACACTCTTGTGTCTTATCCTGGGTTTTGTCTGGATGGCCAGAGAGTTGTCCAGGCACTGAGTTTCAGAGTTTCTGGCTTAAAAGGAACGAGTTATCCACTTTTCAGGATTGTCTGCTGTGGGGCAGCAGAGTTGTCATTCCTATCTCAATGAGGTCTAGGGTCTTAGGTTCCCTTCACGAGGGTCATCCTGGCATTGTATGAATGAAGGCGCTTGCACGCAGCCATTTGTGGTGGCCTGGTTTAGACAAGGAAATTGAAGCTAAGGTGCACGCATGCCACCTTTGTCAGCGCTCATGCCCAGAAATGCCCCAGGCTCCTGTACATAGATGGGAGGAAACACAGTCACCATGGTCTAGAGTGCACATCGATTACGCTGGGCCCTTTCAGGGTCAATTCTTCTTGGTCCTGGTTGATAGCTATTCAAAATGGCTTGAGGTTGTACCTGTCTCTTCCACCACCACTGCAAAGACCATTCAAGTACTGAGGGGGATTTTTGCCGCACATGGGCTTCCGGATGTTTTGGTGTCTGACAATGGCCCTCAATTCACTTCTTCCGAATTCCAAGTTTTCTTACAGGCCAACATGATTCGTCACGCCACCTCTGCGCCTTTCCACCCTTCCACCAACGGTATGGCTGAACGGATGGTCCGCATCACCAAGGATGCTTTAAAGAAACTGACCTATGGGGACTGGCACCACAGGTTGGCTGATTTTCTTCTTGCTTACTGCACCACACCTTCAACTTCTACGGGGAGAAGCCCAGCTGAACTTGCTGGGGGCACAAACTGACTACTAAACTTGACCAGTTGCATCCGGACAGACTGCCTCCTAAGTTTACACAACCCAGGGCACCAAGACAATTGCTAGTGGGTGCTCCGGTATGGACCTGTAACTACGGGCCAGGTCACTTGTGGGTTCCTGTTGTAGTATGCAAGGTTACTGGTCCTTTGTCATATGAGGTCTCCTTGGATGACGGTCGTATCCTGCGACGGCATATCGACCAGCTGCGTACAAGACTGGACTTACCTTCAGAGACTCCTGGTTCTTTTCCGGGGGGGAGGGGGACCTCTACAGGCAAAGGGAGGGGTGTTGGCAGCAGCCAGGCACCAACAGAGAGGCCATAGACGGCCTATCACAAGATTCCGCGAGTGTTCCGAACAGGAATTCCTGGAAACCAGCTAGCACACAGGCACCAATGTCTACTCCAGCCAGGGAGTCATCCTGGGGGCATAATCATTATACACTAACACCATTCAGCACTCCAGTCAGGGAGAATAACCGGGAGCATCCTAATAATTCACACATCACAAGAGAGCTGGCACACAATCAGTCTAGTTGTCCCAGCACTGCTACTGCATCCAGAAGGAGGCATTCACACAGGGAGGTGGGAGGTGGGGCAAATCCCAATTCTGACATCTCTGGCATAGTTGAGGGGGCAACTGAGTTTTGGGGCAGTACTGAAAACCCAGACAGTCCTACTATGGAACTGGGGAGTGGAGGAAGGCAGCCTCACGATAGGTCCAGTACGGGCCTGGGAGGCTCTACAGAGTTGCCCAACAGTGGCAGTCCTCTAGAGGGGCCAGAGAGCTTGCAACTAGGCAGGTCAACCAGGTTATGGAGAGAACAAAGTCCTGGTCTGACGAGCCCGGTGGGCAAGCAAGCAGACCAGGCAACGGGGCACGGTCCATGGGGACCACCAGGGTCCGAGAGAGGGGGCGAACCCATTTCATCCCCTGGGCAAGATGTAATTGGAGATTATCAGAGCCTAAGAAGATCACAGAGAGCTAAGAGATCTCCTAAGTACCTTGAAGATTTTGTAACTCTGCTGGCAAAGCAGAAACAGTAAGAGGGTGTCTCTGTGGAAAATTGGGAATAGGGGCACTGGGGAATTAATCTCCAGAACAATAGCCCGGCACCATTGAAGAAAGGGTTGGCACACCACGCTCGTGTTGAGGTCACGTATAACTATCCATGTAGTTGTAGTTTTAGCCGGGGGGAGGGGTGTTGTGTCCTGAGCCTGCAAAGGCAGGCTCGGGATGTTGCAACGGTCCTGGGCAGTTGCAAGCTGCCCAGGAGCAGACTGGCCTGTGCTGGCGCTCGCACGCATGCGCGAGTCGCGCAGCACGCCTAAATGTTGCCATTTGGCACGGGGATCGTTATTAAGAGAGGCTGAGAGGCTTGCGTGCTTCTGAGTTGTAACAGGGCTACAGAACAACAATAAAGAGGCTCCTGAAACTACGAGATGCTTCGTGAGTTATTGCCATTAGCTGAGGACTCAACAGGCCCCCTCTGCCTTGGCCCTGGCCCAGGCCAGCCGGGAGCCAATGTATAATTTTGTGGTGGCCATCTATGCTGAAACACATTCAGTCTTAGCTCCACAAGGCAATCTGAAAACAGCGAAGAACCAGCCCCTGCCGCGTCAGCCCCGCCCCCTGGGTGCATGCTGGGGAGGTGTCACCCTTTGTGAGGAATGAAGAAATGCACCATCACCTGGAAGTGGCCAGCAAATGGCCCTCACCTACTTCACCTATCCGGCTTGATGGGCTCTGGGGGAGGGGTTTTGGCAGGCAGCGGGGCGCTCTCCTCACAGCACCAAGAGGCTGAACTGGGCAGCGCGAATCCAAAAAGAAGCGTGAGGCTGCCCAGCTCCCAGCCTGCCCTGTTTCGGCAGGCAGAGGGGTGCTCTCCTCACAGCACCAAGAGCTGAGCCAAGTGGCGCGAATCTGATAAGAAGTGTAATGCTGCCTAGCCCCCAGCCTGCCCAGTTTCAGCAGAGAGCAAGGTGCAAAGCTGATGAGCTTCGCACCACCCGGCTCAGCGTCTCGGCGTTGTGAGGAGAGCGCTCCGCTGCCTGCCAAGACCGGCATTGCGCAGGTAATGTTGACTCTCACGCTGCTCAGGGCATCCCCTCTCCCAGAGCCCACCAAGCCAGATATGTGAAGTAGGTGAGGGCCATGTGCTGGCTACTTCCAGGTGATGGTGCATTTCTTCATTCCTCACGAAGGGTGACACCTCCCCAGCTGCGTTTCTTGCCTGTTTTTCTCCCTCCCTCATCTCAAATATTTCCCCACCACTCTGTACTTAGGAAGGAAGGAAAGAAGGAAAGAAGAAGAGGGAGGGTCTGAGGGAAGTCCTACCATAGTCCTGCCCTGCTGCCCTTTTACCATCTCCTCCTGGCCTATCCTGGAGGTCTCCCATCCTATTGCTAAGGAAGCTTTGGATACAAAACCGGATCTCCTCCCATGGAGAGGGAATGGGCCTCCCTCTGACTTTGCCCTCATACCCATCATGAGCAACCTGGGTAAGGAGAGCACAGCAGCAGAAGCCTTGAGGAGGAGGTAAGTGCAGCTGGGTGCCCCCTTGGGGAAGTGGGGCTGGGCTTGGTGCTGTTGGTGCTCAAGGGCCAGGCTGGGCGTTTGACCTCTGCTACTCAGGGCTCCGGGCAGCCCACACCACCATGCCTTGACACTTGTCCTGGTCACACCTTCTGCCAGAGACCCTCAGATCTGTCCCACTCCTGCCCAGGCCCCCACAGGCACCCTTGACGCGAACGATGTAGAGCTGGCGATGCCCACCCAGTAGGCCACACCCACCCGGCCCCTCAAGGGCAACCGCAATGCTGATGCGGCCCTCAGTGAAATTCAGTTTGACACCCCTGGTCTAAATGAAAATAATGTGTTTTACACCCAGTGTTAATTGGTTTATTGGCATCGGAAATTCATATTATTAGCAGCTCTTCTGAACAGACATTGAAAATTATGCATAAAATTAAACTTGCTAGGTTTTTATTCTGCATATTTCATTTTCTTCTAATCTCATTTCAGTGCCCACATTATTGTCCTTCTACATCTATGCATGTATACAGTACTTGCCAACTGCCTTGCTAATGCATTTGATGAACTGGATCATAGTCCACAACAGTTTGTGTTATACTGTAATAAAGAAGAAAGTGAAGGGTGATGGTTAACAAGTTGGACTAAAATTGACCCATTAGTCATCCCTCAGACACAGAAGTTCAATGGGTGACTTTTGGGGCAGTTTATTCTTTCAGCCCAACAGAATGATTTCAGGAAAAAGCAGTACAAAGGAGGGCTTTAATTCCTGAACGAAAGGTAAGCTATAAATCTAATACTCACTACAAATGTCTCCAAAAGAGTAATACAACTTATTTTCTGGAAATGAAGTAATGGAGCAGATGTTGTAAGTAGAGACTTTTCTGTAAGTTTAAATCTGAAGTGTTCCTTACACACTTGCTTTACAGGTCTGTTCCCTAAAGGTGGGCCACAAATGAATTTTTTTTAAAAAAATAAATAATAGTAATAAGCAGCCACGGAGAGGGAATATCAGTTCCGCGTCTCTATTCCTTCCAGGCATAAACTAAACAAATAAGTCCGCTGCGTTTACATGCAAAGTCCTATTCCTGTGTCAGAGATTTGCATTCAAAGAAATGTTTCTGTGCAAAGGCGGTAAGCCACAAGAACAGGCTGGGGTCTTCATGATTGTCACGGTTCTTCTTCGCGTACATTCGTCCAACGGGGGCTTCTCCGCTAATTTACCGAAATACGGACGAACAACCAGCCACAGAGCAATAGGAGCGTGTGCAGCAGAACCCAGGAGTTCGCCGGAGAAGCACTACCCTCCGGGGGGCGGGGGAGAGGAGTGGTCGAGAGGAGCTCCGCGTCCAATGAGAATGCGAAGGCCCCTCCAATGGATTAACGGGCAGCCAATCTGAGCCGAGCGCAGCGGATCCCGCAGGCTCCATTCAAGAATCTCAAGTATTCAAGATGGACGGAGCGGAATGCGGAGAGAGACGCGGGAGCTGTTTAGTGCCCGCCACTTTCTTGCCCGGGCAAAGCGGGGGGAAAACGCCAAAGTTTTAACCTCCACCACGGGGGCTCGCGAGAGAGGAGGAGAAGCCAGAGAGCTGCCGAAAGGGTAAAGATGGCCTCGCTTCTGGACACAAAGGGGTGCCCCTGCAGCACAGGCAAAAGGCGGTTCGCCCGATCCTGCTTCCCTTTCACAAGCGTGTTTCAAGCGCAGGTTTGATCCAGACAAATTTTTGTTCAGTCGAAGGAAAGAGAGAGAAAGCGGGAGAAAGCTGCTGGAGATACGGGGAGGGGTCAGCCCCATCGACGACGCCCTGAAGTAGAAGAGATGTGAGGAATGGCCGAAAATACGGAGAAAGGCTTTCCCGCCCTTCTCCAACACTTCCTGCCTTTGGTTATAAGTGGGAGAAGGGATGAGTGCCCCTAATTATTCTCTGCCCCTGTGTGGCCTAACTCAGGCAGTGGTCCTAAGCCCTGGAGTTAAAGCATGGTGAGAGCAGATTTCCTTCTCAGGCTCTCTCCTAATATTTCCAGACCTTCTTTTGGTGGTATTCAAAGATTTTACGTCTAGTGCTTAGCCCCAAACCATGTACTAATTGCAGGGTTTGCTTAAGTGTGGTTTACTGAGTAAATCACATTTTACAGAATTCACATGTAACACTAAGCCAAACAATGGTTTACAGACGTAGTGGCCAGCTTCACACAATAGAGTAAGCCCAAACCATTGCCCTGGTTTAGATTAGAACATGGATGACTCTGGATAATAGTTATGTTCGCTAATGAATGTTAATGCAAGGTAGAAAATGGGAGAGTTTCCAAGCTTTATTATTCTTTGTAGATGGGGAATGTTTGTTGTGCAGAGTCAAAGAATTGAGCCCTATTCACTGGAACCCAACATTCTAACCTGTACGCCTTCCATGTGTGCATTTGTGCATTCTTGGCACAGGAAATGCAAAAGATACTTGAATATACCTACATGTTGTAGAAGGTGGAAAGATGTGTCCTCAAGCATCATATTTTCCAAACTCTCAATAAGTATATTTCTCTGTCAAGATAACTGGAATTTCAGAATTACGTATGGGATGGAAGGACTAATGGCAATACACAAATTTAAGAATTGTCATAGTTCCTTTCCTTTGATAATTGATGATGTGCTATCAAGTTGTTTTAGACTCCTAGGGACCACATAGATCTTCTCCATTATAATATATTCTAACCTGTTCTTTCAAATGTCCCATTGTTGTACTCATTGCCACCATAACTGAGTCCAACCAATTTGTTACTGGTCATTCTTTTCTCTTTCTTCTTTTTCCAGAGAATTTTCCAAGGTATTTACATAAAGTGTCTAAAGTTGGATAATTTGAGCCTGCTGATCTCTTCCTCAAATGAAAATTCTGGGTTGACTTGTTCAATGAATCAATGGGTTTTTTTTTTTCTTGGCTGTCCATGGTATTATTAAGAATTTCCAATACCAAAGTTCAAACGGGTCAACACTCTTCCTATCCTGTTTCTTTAAATTCCAGCTTTCACTTCCATAGAGTGTCACAGAGAATACAGTGGCTTGCACAATTCTGAGTACTTTGATAAACTTTATGAATTATTACAAAAACATTGGAAGAATTATTAGAAAGCCCCATGAGGGCCTACTTCTGCCTAGAGTGCAATACTGTATAGCGAAATAATATTTATATTAAAATGTGAAGCCTTTGCAGGATTTCTGCAAGTTTTCAGTATTCTGAAAAACAAATTTCTCTGCAGCACTTTTCAGTGAGTACCTGCAAAATTCTATAGCTCCCAAAGGCTATAAAACTTTACCAACCAGCATCTCTCTTTCCTTTAGATAATTTAACCTGCTAAAAATTCCAATCTTTGAAAAAAAAAAAGGTTCCTTATGATGGCATCATTGCATCAAAAATACTCGTGTTTAAGGAACAACATTTATATTTGTTAGTAATTTTTTCCCTGTCTGGAGAGATTAGTAGCCACATCCACCTCATGAAATGCTGAGTTTTTTGCAATTTATCATATAGCTAGAGCATCTACTTGCACAAAGACAGTTTCAGAATGTATAAACAAAAAAAAGAGGGTAGTCTATGTTCATTTTTAGAAAAAATGAAAATATTGACCCTAGTCTAAGTGACTTATTCTTGCCTTGCATGAAATCAAGACAAAATACAATCACTGACATTACTGTTTTCAAAAAATGATTTACAAGATTTATAGTACTAGTGGCTACATCACATTGGACTAGACAGTGCCCAATAATTTGTAATGCAAATTCAGTTTAAACACAATAGAGTTTTCACCAAAAGTTTTCAATTTAAACAGAGGGAAATGACTATAATTTGCAGAAATTAAAATCCAAAAAGAATGTTTCAATTTGCTAAATATTTAGCAGATATTAAAGAAATCTGAACTAAGATTATATGCCTTTTGAAATGGGCTTAGTTAATATTCAAAATATAATACAGTGGATCCTCATAAATTAAGCATTGTGATGAGACAGTTCCAGACAAGCAAACCTAGATTCTATAAAAAGTCAACTGGAAAAAAAAAGTTATATTTTTATTTGTCCATCCATCCAGAATAGTAGCTAAGAAAAAAAATTGAGGTGTTTTTTTCCTTCTCAACTTTTCAGCTGTGAGTTATTAGGTTGGTAAATATGTACTCCCACAGTGTAACACATGAATTAATTGAATCATAGCGGTGGCATTTGTAGCGATACAAATTAAAATATCCCAGATTGATTACTGTTCATTACTTTGCTTGAACACTTCCTGTGAAGGGAGAGCTAAACCTCTTGGGGTAATTTATTTCACTGCCAAATTGCTCTTTCTGTTAGAAAGTTTTTCAGCTAATTATTATTGCAAGGTCAAGGATGTGTATAAACCAATGTAATTTACTGTATTTCGTTTTGTGGGAAAATGTAAATCTGTACAGTATTCTCTGTTTGAGGGAAATTAAATGGTAATTGTGAGATATCCAAAAGTATCACAGTAAGATTAGAAATGTTATTGGCTCTTTAAAGATCGTGTAACAAATTGCTATCCCTTTGCTAAATATGCAGTGTTTATTTATATGGCAGTATAACACTGTATCAGTGTTTGATCTGAAAGCTTCAATATCATAAGGAGCTATAGATGTTGAAAGCCAGTATTGATCCCTTACTTCCTATCATAAGACAGCCATATATAGAGAACAGCTGTTGATTCACAGGCTTAAGCCCAAGTGGGACTACTTACAGTAGGTGTGAGAAGAGAATTAGAACATTCTGTACACGCTAGAGGAGAAGATCCAAAACTGGCCTCTGAATGGAAAGGTATCAAATGAAGTATAATAAACATACTTCTATTTGGTTTATATATTTAGCTTCATATTTTAAACTATATACAGATATTCGTTTCCAAGGAGTGAATAACTACTTGCTTCTGAACACCAATAAAAGGCAGTCTTTTCAGTTTTTACACTTATTCCTCACATTCAATTTTTAACATGGAAAATCATTGTGAATTTAGAATTTTTATACCCCGTTTTAGCATATTCTATGCTTTATATGTGTTTTAATTGATTTGTACATTATTTTTCCTCAGTCCATGCATTATTGTATATGATAAATCTGGACCAAATTGTTTTTGTATGAAACATCATAGTTATATAATTCCACAAAGTAGCTACAGTAAATGCTACATGTCCTCATGTCACAATTCATGTATGTAATTTCATGGAATGATATTAGAAGGCTTAGTTTGATCTGCTCTAAGCAATCATATATGTATTAATTTTAAGCAAAGTTTGATGGGATGTGTTTGTAATTCTATGGTTTTGAATGATTTATCACATGCATGACATGAGTGAACATGGTATTGACTTCTTCATAGAGGGAGATATCTTCATTTTTCAGAAAACTGCTACATGGTGAATACTTTTGCTTTTTTTTTAATTGTTCATGAATAATATCCTTGCTATTGATAACATTAATTTTGCAGAGCAGATGAGGAACATGCTTTTTGAAATGCTTTGGGCTAAATAAAATTTTTACTTGCAGTTGGAAGTTTCATTCGGTGTCTGCCTTTCTCTTTCATTATTGAACTGAGAACCAAGTGCTATACTTATTATTTTTTTCCTGACTTTTCTTTTCCCACCTGTCCTATTATAAAAATCACACATCTGAAATTAGTAAAAATGTATTCAGGTTGAGTTGATTTTATCAAACTCAAGTATATTTCTTTTTTCTCTACTTACATCAATCTGAGTTTCAAACTAAAATCTGCATATTCTGCTGTTCTTTCATAATCTTTTATAATTTCCAGGAATGTATGGCTTGTTTCTGCCTCATTCTTATCCATTTGTGATTTTTAACTGTTCTGTTAGTATAAAGATATTGAATGAATACTGCATTAACATAACATTATTTCCAAAAGGTATTTTTTATCAGCAATGTATTAATGGCATGGAACTGTTTAGGAAAAACAGCAATCCAACAAAATCTGTTTATGTCTTGGTTAGCTCTTTGCAGTAATTTCTAATAAATGCATTTGCAATTGAAAGCTGGTCCAGCAATCAAACAAAAGATCTTTTTATGTGTGTAATACATAAAACTATGAAATGCATAGTTTCCCACCCTCCCAAAAATGATGTCGGACAGAATAAAGAAAATTTAAAATGGTTTTGCAGTCTCTCACTTGTCTAAATCTGATAGCTGGTCCTATTCTCCCTTTGCTCTAGAAACTTGTTATTTCCCAAATACTATTTCCTTCATATCTGGTGATAAGGTTCAACATAATGGATAGGTGAATGACCTGTCAATGAAAAACAAGGACATCCTGTTGCATCAGTTCCCCAAACACTAGGTATAAACAATCTATTTTCCCTTCTGTCCTGCTGTTGTTTCCAGCTAAACTACTATGCATCTGGAAGCAATTTTCAGATAGCACTTTCTTTGGTTAAATATTACAATTATTCTCTCAGCTATTTATTAGCAATCATTTGGCAAAACAATTGGATAAGATGTAATCTTGGAGAAGGGAATTCTGAATTAGTTTTTCTACTGGGTGTTTACATGAATCAAAGTCCAAGGCCTTGTTGAGTATGGCTTTTTGTGAAGGCAGCTTTAGCTAGCTTTAGCTGATTCTGACCATTGCTTTGGAATAACAACCCTTCCCCATGCTTAAGCCTTTATTTGCTATCAAGTCCTTGCTTACCTATTTACTTGATTTTTTTTTCAAGTCAAAGAGTATCTGTCACTCAATATTTCAATATTACTTGCAATTAAAACTCTGAACATTACAATTATTCCAACTAAATAGTAATACTGCATACTGTTATCTTCTCCTGTGATGATTCAGATGCATATTATAAACTTCACATGTATATAATGGCTGTTGTATTGGAATTCATATCTTTGATTGGTGAAAGTAATAGAGAAGTGCAAGATATGGTCTTAGGTCAACAGAAATGATTGACCTAAGCTATGTATGTATATAAAAGAAAATCCTTGTATATTGAATAATATAGAGAATTTAAGAGATCCAGTGGAAGCTGCAGTATATCAAAAATATGGTGGAGAGCAACTATCCTGTTCAGAAGAAGGGCTCAAAGGGGGAATTAGTCTAGAGTCGTTTGTATAAATACAAGAGGGTAAGGTCTAACTCCCCTCCTTATCTTTCCTAGGTGAAAGCTGCCAATATGGGGAGATTCCTGTGAAATAAGCATAGAACAGTAAAGTAGCTAGTTGTGAAATGTGTTATTTACATAATGATGTAGGAAATGACCATGCTGAGCATGAGAGAGGGGTCAAGAGCATCATCAATCTCAAAACCCTTCACATCCACATGTGATCTAATGATCCAGCCTACCTTGAATTTTGTTGACCCTTATGTATCCCCAATTTGATTAACCATTAGTAATTCAGATTCTTGTAGAGGATTAGCATGCAATAAACCTGTATTCATTTGAATCACTTTGGCTTCTGATTTTCTGTGCTTGACAATGACATCATGATCTAATGTCCCTTTGTGCCCACCCCTCCCATGAGTATCCATAGCCATAATAGCTTAGAATTGAGAAACAGGCTTGGCTGTGGGCTTTTTCTTTGCTCTTTTCCTGTTTTTCAGCTGTATGATGAAAATGGGCTGTATTTGGTCCTTCACATTTGAATATGGGAGATGTGAAGTAGAGGCAAAACTTGTGTGTAAAAAAAAAATCATAATTAAATTAATTATATTCGTTATTCTGAAGCTGGTGATTTGGGATTCAAAAGTAGTCTAAAACTGTAATTTAAATCAACTGTAATTGTCTTAAAACTTACTGTAAATAAATGTTTGTAAAAATATGGATGCTTATCTTTAGAAGAAATAGGGTTTTAGTTTTATCATGTATAGATCCAGATTATTCAATAAAGTGACTTGGAATTTCAGATAAGAAAAATTCTGGAGGGATTGGGTTTAAAGAGCACACAAAGGAAAATGTAATGACAAGTAGAATCTAGCTTTCTGGATCCAGTGGTTTGATTAGCACAAGATTGCACAGTCTTTAGTAGAGTTACATATTGCCTTTGAGAGGTTGGAGGTCTCACATTATTAAGTGGTCAGAGCCATAAAAAGTAGCTGGAGCTACTCAACAACTAAATTTTTTTGAATTAAAGTTAAATATCTAATGTATTTAATATAGCCCTTTATTGTCATATTGCAAATTCAAGTTTAGTGGCAATTGTTGAAGAATTCTGGAGGATGCAGTCAAATTTTGGGGGATGCCGTATGTGATCTTGAGGATTCAGGCTTTGTGCCTCTTATTTGTTTGGCAGTGCTGAGAAACTGCTTATTTTATAACTGAAGCTGTTTCCTTTGAATAGACTGTCAATTCTAAATATTTTTTTAAAATCTTATAAAGAGAACTAGTTATTTTGTGTAATGCTGTTTCAAGACAGAATCAATTAAATTAACTCCTACACTGCTTTAGGATTGCAACTGTGATGTAGTAAAGGAGTATTGATGGTGGATGCAAGTTATTTCCCTTTATTTTACCCTCCGCTTTTTAGGTTGAATTCCCGAACACTCTCCTTGAAACATAAAACTGGATACTACTCCTGCTGGATGAAGACTAAAGAGAATGGCTTGATTAATATGTGCCGTGCAGCAGCCCACTATTCTATAGAAACTCATACTAAAGAAAGTGCATTGATAAAATAAATCATAGTTCATGTGTGATCCTTTTCACCCTTCAGTGAGATTCTGAGAAAGTTAACTCTCTTGTTCCTGTGGACAAAGCAAAGGGCCTTCGGATGCACTGAGCACGGCCCCTGCCCGAGGCTCTTTTCACATTGTGCTACTGAGCCCAACCAAGCAGTGCAATGTAAAAAGGGCATTGGGTTGGTGGTCACAGCAGCATGAATTCTTTATACCTCCACCGATGGTAAAGATGAAAGGCCAGGCATGGAAACTTGCTAAACGAGGCATAATGGAGGGAAAAAACATCCCCATTTTGTCCTGCTAGAAACCACTAGAACAGTGGTTTCTATGACAAGAGCTATCTATTCACTCCTTTCAGAGGAGTTTTCAATTTAAGTTGCTGGGTTTTGGATAAATTTTATACCAACATGATTTGGTATTCGAGCAGCAGCTGAAATATTGGTCATTTTTATGTTGTCTTTTTGAGATAATATAGCAACCTATCATCAAACGTTGGTTGCTGATATATATTGGGTATCTTTTGTACTCTAGAAGATGGTTAAACACATTATGATAATTTTGAGTGTGCAGTTTTGTCTGTGGGGATAAACATACTGCTTTGGGGTTGTTGTTGTTTTGATTACTTGGTATGAAGATTTCAAATTTATGTAGTCAGCTAATACTTCTGGATTCTGTGCCTATTGAAAACTTTTAACCAGCAGAAAGCTAATTTCCCGTCAACAGAACGTCTGGCTTGGTACTAAATCTGCAAAGGAAGCAGGATGACAGAAGCTATTGATAGTATGGATTGCTTGTTTTAAAATATAAAACAATTTTATTATACAAAAAAATGCCTGCGCTGGTGACAGTGCTGAAGTGTTGTTTCCCCCACATAGACACACCTTCATGTATGGTAGGGGAGTTGAGGGGAGGGGTTATGGTGCTCAGGGATTACAAGCACACGGTGGTTCACACCTAAATTAATGGACTCCATAGAATAAACCTGGGGGAAATACCATTGCAGTGTCTGGGAAAGGGACTGATAACTGCCATTTGGAGAAACTGTTCCTCTGTCCCCTACCTTCAGGATATCTTTTATCTCCCCGTGTGATCTACACCATCCAACCTTCAGTGCCCAATATCAGCAGGCTGATGTACAACTCTTAATTTCTCCTCAGAAAGGAGAACAATAATGCATTGAATCACTACTCTATCCAGCTCAATGCTGTCAACATCTGCCCACAGCTATTCAGGGCCATAGTTGAAGTTCTGTCACAGCCCTTCTTTATTTACGCTAGAGATACTGGAGACGGGTCTCTCTTCAGCTTTTAAGCGTCAAACTGATCTGTTGACCCTCCCCCAAACCATACCCTATGTCAGAGCCCTTGCTGTCACATTGCATTAAGGATTTTGTTTTTCTTACACAATGGACTGCGTAGTTCAAACCTGATTCCAGGTTCTCCATTCTGGATGCCACAGTGTTATGCTGACAAGTGCTAACGGGATGTAACATAACCTACACAGGCCAAGGAGAAACCAGTCCAAAATCTCCCACTCTCTACCACCTGCGTGTTTTCCTCTTCTGCTCTAGGGGACAGGTAGGGTCCTCCAAACAGTGAGTCCAGCATTTCAGAAAGAGGCTTTGGGAGAAAGATCCTGGAAGCTCCATTCCCCTGGATGATGCTGTGCAGGAGATTGATAGAAGGGTAGCTGGGTTGGTTGTGCTGGGGTGCCACTTGTGGCAATGGGGTTACGAAAGAGCATGGCATGCTACGCAGGAGGGTATGAACCCAGTCTTCTTTCTCAGTCCCAGCCATTGTCCTTCACCATATGTGACATCTCAATGATGTACTTCCCTTCTTTGTACTTCTGGCTGGTCTCGAAGGCTTGTTCCTGGCAAAGAAGGAAATAGGAGATACAAACCCAGCACTAAAAACCGATGTTTACTAGTTGAGTAATGAAAGGACTGCAAACAAACAACGAGCTCAGCATGCAAATATTCTCTCCTATTAGATACAAGCCCACCTACTTTAGATAATGCCTCTCCCTCTCTAAAACCACAACAAAAATATAACTTTGCTATCATGAGATGAAATGATAGGTGAAAGATAGCAAAGCGCTAAGAAGCAGCAACTGGCATTCATAAATGCGCAACCCCATGGCTTTGAGAGAGGCCATACAAAAACTAGTATTTTGCACTAGTCTTCCCAACTGGATACGATCACAAGAATTGCTTTGATAGGCTGATGATGTTACTTAATTTGGGTAATGAAATGTCTGCAAGAAAATAACCAGGTACAAAGTGCACCAAGGGTCCCTCATTTCAATCCCGAGCTACAAATATTCTCCTTTAAAGATTGCTTTCCTGTATCTCCTTGGTTTGTGTGCTTTCCAAAAAACTTGATCACTAGAACTACATCTCTGAAGGGAATTTACTCACATATTTCCAGCCCAGTGTAGTCTTGCAGCTTTCACAAAATATATCAGCAACTGAATGGAGACCAGTGAGCAGAAGACGTTGCTCTGCTGGACCACAGCCCACATTAACCCTGTAATCAAATTAAAAGTCAGCATCTCATTTTGTCTTTACCGTGAATATGGCCCCAATTCTGTTTTGCCAGTAGCTTGCAAAAAACTAGGATGAGAAATATCCCTGTGCTATGATATCTGAAGTGATCATATAGGAGAAAGTTTTTTAAAACAAGGAACTTTTTATGAAGATATATTAGTTGGACTATGATTTACTTACTTGCCTATAATAGTTTAGTAGTTTCAGTTTTCAGATGACAATGTACTGAATAGATTTTTAAAATGTGGGCATGTTACAATAATTATGTAATTTACACTTTATAAAGAAAAAATAAAACATTTTGCCAGGAAATCTGAAAATAAAAATGGATTCTAAAGAAATAGAAATAGAAAACAAGAAATAGAAAATGGATTCTAAATTTAATCTCAGAGCGGCCTCCAGTGGCAGAAAGAAGGGTCTACAGGCAGTGCGTTGTGCTCAGAATATTAAAAATTGGGGCACATCAATAGTACTCTATTGATTACAAGCGTCTAGACAGAGACAATTTGGATAATTCTATTTAATCTACTGAAACAAGGGAAGTGTTAATTTTGTGCATTTCCATTTCTCATTTTTCCTAACTTTCTTTTGTGAATTTGGCTAGAAACAAAACTCTACATGAAAATGTTGCTCACATTTTAATGCATGCCTATTTAAACACATCAAACAAATGGTTTGATTATTTTAAATTAATACATGTCAGGAGGTAGTTAAATTCTCTAGTAAAACGGACTCAGGACATTGTGGTAGAAAGAAAAAGAAGTTAGATATTGTTATCTACAGTTTAATTTGATCTTACCTCAGTTATTTGGGTTTTACTGCATTACCAATCTCCCCTTCCTGAGGTGAAAGGTTACCATAATTTTATTTCTAATTACTGTTATGCAGAGCTATGTAATAAGGATGGAGATTCTGCAATGCAACTATTTGAAAATCAACCAGGAAGAAATAGTACTCTTTTTAGATTTATTTCACATTATCACATTTAAAGGCAAAAGCAGATAAGAATTACCACAAGAGGAATATCACTTACTTACTAGTCAGCTTTTAAATAACTAATGCAGAAAATTCATCAGGACTGCCAAACAAGAATATAGAGGTAGTTCATAATTTCCAACAGAGGTGGTCAAACAGATCTTTTGCTATAGTCAATCTCTATATTCCATTCACTTCAAGAAGAGTGGTTATTTCTGGAGCCAAAGGATTCTGCTCCAGAACAATTTGCTTGGCTGGGATCACTATCCACGTCAGAGGTATATTACATCTCTGACTCAGTCTCACTGACTTGTAGTTGAGCTTTCTTCTGCTGAAGGCCAATCAGAAATAAAGAATGAAAATGATACATTTGACAAAACCACCTGCACTGTAAGCTCTACTTGTATACATCAGGGTCTTCAAACTTGGCAGCTTTAAGGTTTGTGGACTTCAGTTCCCAGAATTCCTCAGCCAGCCATGCTGGTAGGGAATTCTTGGAGCTGGAAGTCCACAATTCTTAAAGTTACCGAGTTTCAAGACCCCTGGTATACATTTAAAAAAAATGGTATTATAAATCAGGAGGATGATCAGCAATTTTGAAATCTCAGTATAATGGAACTTTAGTAATCATGTTATCAACCTTTGTATATGAATTTGGAATTAATTTGATTCTTTTAAAGAACGGGAATGAACATTTGGGAGTTTAATGTGAGAAAAAAGAAATTGTTAAGAAAGATACCACTTTCTAGGAACTGAAAGGGAAAGATGTCATCTCCAATAATGAGAAGCAGTAGACCATCTTTTAATTCCAAGAATGTATCTTCCTTTGGGGGTGGAGCTAAGAGAATTTCAGTGATACAATGCAATAGGTTGGGTTCCATTTATAAAGCCTAATAAATGCCATGATGCTGGAGGCCCATTGCCAAGTTAAATAATGGCAATGATAACACATCAAAAGCAAAAATAAGACAGAAATGTCCCAATATATTGTACGTGTGTTGGGAAGCCTATTTATTATGTGTTTTATTCCCTATTCCTATTTCAGAATTTAGTCAAATTAACCTTGGAGGCAGATGAGCTGCAACTGTAAGAACGTTATGATGGAGAGGATACTAAGTGAGATATGACAGATATACATCGTATACAGGTTATTTGGAGGAATACTGAATTCTACATCTCACTCCAATAGCTTTACTTTATATATATAGAGAGAGATCTAATAAAACTTAAATATTCTCTTTTGCAAGAAAACTATTTTCTTCCATTCCAAGGCAAAAATCGTATGTTTGCCTGCTTCCACTGTTGCATGCTCCTCACCTGTATCTCATTCCCAATAAATAAAACCAATTGCAGGAGGACACTCACACAGAATTGAAAAGATAGGCACGACCATGACTCCCCTGGAAGGACTGTGGAAATAAAGTATAAAAGTTATGTCCTCTCCCTTATAAGATTATTGAATCTCCTTCCCAAACCCAACCACTCAGTAGGGATCCTAAGTTGTAAGAAAGATCAAACTGTTCTTAGACAGTGATATTGCTGGGAATCCCAAGACTGTAGCTAGCTAACCCCAAACAGGCAATGTTGTGAGGAAGCACAATGCCAGAGTCTGGTTGGGCCAGAGCTAAATGATAGGTATAGCTAAGCTTATCACTCTGATCCTGAGAGCATGCATACCTTGGAGATGAGCTCATCATGTTTGGCCAAGTGTGCCCTGCAGTGGACACAGCTGTAAGTCCGGTGGCACCGGGGCAGGTAACTGCGGAATGTTTTGGTAGGGAGACAGGCGGCTGGTGGCACTGGCTCACAGCTGGGCATGACAGGCTGGAGAGCGATGCCTTGTCGAGGTGGGGGAGCTGGCGCTGTGCAGCCCCCACATAAGCGATCACAAGTGAAGCAGCGAAGCAGGTTGGCTAAAGCCGTTTTTCAAAAAAGTGAGGTTTGGGGGGGCTGCACTGCCAGGGCCCCCCCAGATGAGAACCAGACCGAAAGGGGAGACACCTAGTGAGAGAAAAGGGAAAGGAATAAGCAGAGGAGCAATGCAAACCTCCTTGCACCATTGGAAATGGAAGGAAGGAATGGACCTTGTCATGCATGTTCAAAACGAGCATTAAAGTTGAGGGTGCACCAAACAAAACTCTTGTCACGTGATTACAGTTGGCCGAATGGAGATCCTCGAGTCACATTATTGTTCTACATACCAGTTTCAGGAATTCTTTCAAGATGAAGAAAACTACAGAAGTTTAAATTTTGTTTTTCCCTGGCCCAAGAACCTTACAATAGATGCTCAACTGCCATAATAATGATGAATTACTTCTCTAATAGATGCTCAACTGCCAGAATAATGATGAATTACTTCCCTATCAAGGACTGTAAAAGCAATACAGTATGCTTTTTTTACATACTTCCCAAACCTCTATAACTCACTTTCTTAAGTATGCTTAATACTGCAGATTTGGATTGAGCCAGATTGCTTACCTGAATTAAAAGTATTACTCTTTTCGTCTTAATTGCCCAGCTGATTTAGAAACAGTTTTCATTTATTTTGTCCTTTAAGACAGTAACACTCATGCTGTCAGACATTGTCAGTAACCCAGTATCATCAATATCAGTCATGATGTTGAGATGGACAGCCGTATAATTTGAAGAAGTCCTTGTCATACAAAAAAATATGACCTGCCAAAAGCTATCAAGCTGTCATTGAGTTTCATTATATTATTTCTGGCATGACAACCCAGCCTTTAACTGCATTACAGTTTAATTACTGTAATGCACAGACCTCGTTCTTAAAGGTCTTCTGAGTAGCTGCTAGCAATAGCTACCGATAATGTATCTTTTCCCAACTCATTCCTACTTATTAAATGTCTCTCCCTCCCCCCCCCCGCTCCCCCCAATCATCCGTGCTTGTGAAAGTCGTCTTCCAGGGACTCAATAATACGGCTCACCATGCACGTTCATTCAAAGTCGTCTATTCCCCAGTTCTGACAGCTTCCACCCCCGTGAGCTCGCTCCCTGCCGGTAAGAAACAGGCATTACACCTCAGTAGCTGACTTTTCAGGAGCCCCACGTCTGCGCGTTTGTCCCCTTGCGATTCGCAAACCTCGTTCCGTCCCGCAGCGAATCACACGTGGGACGGGTTGAGCCTGCCAGTGACTCCAGCTTCCTAACCGCTCGGCTTTCGATTAATGCAGTAAAAAAATCGTCTTGCTACGCCCGGATGCAACTTGTATTGCGTCGCTTATCATTCTCCCCCTGTTTCCGACCGCTTCCTCCTCTCTTAGAAGGAGCAACGAATGAAGGGGGGGAGAGAAAAATAAGTGAAAGTGGGAGGAGCCCGAAGATCAACCGCGTTAATCACCGCAGAGTCTGACTCACGTGGCTGCCTGCGCGGAAAGAAAATAAAGGCGGCGTGGGGAAGTTCCCCGCGGGACTCGCTCCTGGCGGAGGATCTCGGTGACAGGATGGAAGGGCTGACCGGGTGGCGGCTTTTTTCGCTGCCCAGTGAAAGACGGCTCTTAGGCCAGGCTAAGGGACGGCCGGGAAGGGAGGGAAAGTTTCGGCGGCGGCGGCGACGCCTGCTCTCCCCTCTCCGCTGCTCACCTTGAAACCTGCTTCCCAGGGGACTCTCTCCGTCCCTGCCTGTTCCGGCTGTGGCTCCGCGCGGGGTCGTAGCAAGGGGACAGCAGCTTCAGAGCAGGCCGAGGGCTGTTTTTGTGCACCGTCTGTAGCCGAATGTGGCGGGGTGTTGTGGAACCGCATCATAACATTGTGAGTCATCCATCCCTCCTCCTCTTCCTCCTCCTTTCCCCCCCCCCTTTCAGTCCCCCGCTACGTCAGAGCGGGGTCGGAGACACGGATCAGGGAAGGAGGGGACGCTGAGTGGAGAGGATGCCCCGGCAGGCCACACGCGGCACTCTGGGGCAGAAAGGCGGCCGGGGGAAAGGGGTAGCTGAGAGAAGAGGGGCGGACCGGAGCCCTGGCAGGGAGAAAGGCGCGCAGGGATCGCGCTCCCCTCCTTTGCTGCCTGGGGCAAACTCTGACGCAGAGAGAGAGAGACGCAGCGTAAGGGTCACCGCCGTCTGGAAAGCTGCAATCTCGCTTTTTTTTTTCGAGGTGCCCTGTCCAGACAAGCCCTCGATCGCAACATGTTCAATGCTTCAGGAAATGGATCCAGGACCCTCGCTGCCTCCTTCTCCGGCGCATGGGATGCTCCTGCATGTGAAAGCCCGAAGCCCCACAATTTGTTACTTCTCGGCTTCCAATTCCTCCCAGCCTCCCCATTGCTCAATCCTCCCCTTGTCCTCCAAACTGACATCCCCTCTTGGCTACGTCCGCATGTTTATGATATCCCAAAGGAAGACCTATTTCCAGATGTGGGCTTGGAGTTCAAAAGTAAATAATTGCTTGGTAAGATGATTTTGGCACCATAAAACCACACGGGTGTTGATACCTATAGGCACTGAATTGCAACCGTTTAGTACAGGATGTTTCTAAACGGCAGGAAGAAAAATTCGATCCCATTACAAAGATTAATAAACCTTCCTTCACTTATCCACAAATATATACCAAAAATCCAAAACCCAAACGTGCCTCCATGCAAGCATTGATTACATTGTTGTTGTTGTTAATTGCGAAGTCGTGTCCGACCCATCGCGACCTAAATAGAGCCATACTTTCCCCAGGAAATGATATAATTGTCCATCTCCTGTTAGCTTAAATATATGCAGGTTCTAGAATACTGGTAGTACAGGTTTGGAACCCATGATTGTGGTAAGGGCTTCTACAATCAGCAAGTCTATTTGCCATATGCATTGCTTGTGAGTCCTGATCAATTGCCTACATTTGCTTGTCTTGAGAGGCTATCATTATGTCTGGCACTGAAACCCATGACAGCCCATCTTGGAACCAATATGAATTTATTAGAAACCTTGATGGCCACAGGCTGAAACTCATGTAAGTACCTGTAAGCCTAGTCCTAAATTGCTATGCTAGATAATGTTCTAGGATTACTCTATAATTCACTAAATTGCAGAAAGCTCAATCTGTCCTGATTTTAAGAGTGGAAGGAAATGTGCCTTTGGAACCTCTGTAGTAGCTTTATTGGACTGTTATTGCATTTTAGAACATGACTAGTATGCATCATGCTACTTTCACCAGTACTGACTTCTAATTAGTAATTCACATTTAGAAAACAATGGAATAGTGGAAATTGTTCTTTGGGGAATACATTGTTATTACAATCACAAGCCCAATATTTGGACTGCCATTCCAAATTGGTTAAATTTTCTTCAGGGCTTTCATCAGTCATGCTGGACACAGAAACATCTGGAAGCTGTTAACTTTCCATCCTCCCTTCATGACCACAAGAACAACTATCTCTGACACTGGCAAATGTATCAAAGATGTATCATTTTTGCTGGATATAATAGGGCTATAACAAAGGAGTGATTGAGATGCCAGTATCTAAATTTGAGTAAATCTCTTGTATTGTGTTATACTTTGTTTCTTTATCCCCAAATATTTTTTTAACTCTACAACCTCTTTAATCTATTTCAACTTAGCTTACAATCAAAGCAGTCTTTACCTTGCTTGTCACAAAGGCTGCCTACTCTATTGTAGGTATCATTAACAAAAAAATACGACAATAGAAATATCTTTATGAATGACTGCAACCACTCACGACTATAGTTTACAGTTCTGGGCATCACACTTTAAAAAAACTGATTCAGAATTGGAAAAGGTGCAGAATAAGACAAGTACAATACACTAGGAACAGTTTTCCTGAGAGGAGAAATTATATTTGGGATTTTCAATCTAAAAGGAGGATAAGTATAAAATATATGACATAATATATTATTACATATAGTAGATAGAAAGACAGGCGGGGAAAATACATGAAAAACTAAACATCAGAAGGAATCTGATAGAGTAACAGGTTTTAAAAGGGATAGCTTTTGTGAACTGCAACTTTATTAAAATGAATACATGGAATAAAGAAAATGAGAAGGACTAAAACTGGTGACAATGAATGATGGAAGGGATTAGTTAAAGAGAAGGATTTGAACATATACATTAGATAAGATGGAAATTGCAACTTTAAGAAGTAATGATGCTCAATTTGATGGCATTAAAATGAAACTAGGCAAATTCGGATAAGATTATCACTGGCTACTAATCATGACTAGTATTACAGGAATACTAATGACTAGCCAACATGAATTAAAGGGCACTAACACATTGCCCAGAAACATTTGGGTGGCTAATGGAAGGATAGAATGAACACAACTGTGAGCATTTGCTTTAATTCAACAGAGAAGTTCCAGCAAAATTTGGAAGCAAAATGGCCTTCAAAAATTATATTAATAAATTTTGAAAAAATATTCTATAATCCATATTCCCAGTTCTAGATTAATAGTTTTCCCTTACCTTACATTCACTCAATAGGAACTTTGCAGTCCCTATTGTCAGTTTCCATTATAGGTCTATTACAGGTAGTCCTCATTTAGTGATTTCTTCATGCAGTGACCACTTTCAATTACGACTGTGATGAAAAAGTAATTTTATGAACAGTCCTCAAATTTATCTGGAAAGCAAAGGAAAACAGAAATAAGTTCATGAACACAGCTGTGGTTTCATTTAGTGGTGCTTTGGTTAACAACCAAGTTGCTGATCCCAATTATGGTCACTAAGTGAGGATTTAAACTTATCTAATTCACATTAGGCCAAGATAAAAGTAACAGTCAAGCTCTATTTTATCAATGTATCGGTGCCATGATTATATGAAAAAGAATATGACCTAAAACTGCAATCTTATGCTCGCTGATTTGTAATCCCCATTATACTCAATATGACTTACTTTTGAGTGAACTATAGGGATGCATTTGCACAATTCAAAAGGATTCCAACACCATTCACTGTTCATAAAAGCATTATCACAATTAAGGGAAAGAACTGCCTGACCAACAAGGTATCAAGGGCAGATGGCAAGAATATACAGAAGGGCTATCTGCCAACAACAGAGGCCCAGTTCCTCAGGATGATGAGGAAAGGGAAGCAGAAATAGAGTCAGTCATCCTTCAGGAAGAAGCCATATTGACAAGGTCCTAGATGTTACCATTCATGCAGAATAGCGGAACCATCACAGCCTTGTGCCAGAAAATTTGGGAAATGAACACATAGCCAAAAGATTAAAATCAGTGTTAATTTACTGCCAAAAAAGGATGATCCCAAGGATTTCTCCAATTACTGCACAATTGTCCTCATCCTTCAGACTAGCAAGATTCTCAAGAATATCGATACTTCCGGTGGATTTGCATGGGCGATGGCGGCTACTTTGTAGCCGTCCTCCTGGGTAAGTGTAATGAATCGCTATGAACAGCGGACATCAGCTGTTCAGCGGTTCAAAATCCCCCTCCCGGGCAAAGGGGGGGAAGAGGGTGGTCTGAATAGTGGTAGAGCCTCTTATGCACCCCCAATATTTTTTTGGGGGGGGTGAAAAGAGTGCTCCCACAGAGTTCAGACTGTCTCCGCTTCCCAGCTGCTTTTGTCCCTAGGGACAAAACAAGCCGTTGCAATCACCTCCACGCTTAAAGGGAACTGGTGAGTTTTTTAGAAGCGGACAGAGTTGACTAGAGGATTAGCTTTTGCTTTCTTTGATTTTATATGGATTTTTAGTTTAAAGATTTATTTTTACGTTTATATTCCCTCTTTTTACTTTTTACTTTTTGCTGAAAGGGAAAGTAAAATGGCGATCGGCAGACTTTCCGGCGTTTTATTTTATTTTATTTTATTTTCCTTTTGGGAAGCTAGAATGGCGATCGGTAGGTTTTTGGGTGTTTTTCTTTCCCTTTCTCTTTTCTTTTCTTTTTAATGATTGGAATGGATGCTTTATTCTTCTTTCATTTTTTTTTTCTTTGATGAAAGTGAAAATAAAATGGCGATCGGCTTTTTTGGATTTTAGAAGCATTATTATTTTTGCTTATTTTTAAAGGCAGGCATTCTGGTGTTTAAAATGGAATGGATCTTTTTTTTTTTTTAACTCCCTTTGATTTTATTTGGATTTTTACCTTAAAGACTTATGGATTTTAGAAGCATTATTATTTTTGTTTATTTTTAAAGGCTTCCCTTTAGTTGAAAGGGAAAGTAAAATGGTGATTGGCAAGCTTTTTGGTGTTTTCCTCTATGCTTTTATTATTATCTTTTCTTTCTTTTTCTTCCATCTTTTGTTTTTTTAACTCCTTTTTTATTTTTTGGAGTTAATTTTTGTAATTTTTAAGAAGGAGTAAAGATTTTTTTTTTTTAAGATGGCTCCAAAGTGTCCAGAGATCCCTACAGTTCCTAAAGTGGCTTCTTCTTCGGTGTCATCATCAGTGCAACAATCTAAATCTATAGCAGTGGTTCTCAACCTGTGGGTCGGGACCCCATTTGGGGTCGAATGACCATTTCTCGGGGGTCGCCAAACCATGCTGTCCGCCATTTTTTCCCCTTTTCCCTAGCTGTCCTACTCCCTCTTATTGGTGGCCACACCCACTTGGGGGTCACCACAACATGGGGAACTGTATTATGGGGTCACGGCATTAGAAAGGTTGAGAAT